AGAATCAGGAACAGAAGGAGAGAGTGGGAAGGAGAAGGCTTCGGGGAAAAGGAAGAAAAAAATGCAAGAAATTCCAAAACAGGTAATTCATTATCTTTTGTTTCAAGTTTGGATTAATTTTTTACTTCTTAGTTATAACTCATGAATTGTATGTTTAGATAAAAAGGAAGTTTTCTAGAAAGTTTTGATTCGTAATTTTTTTTTTTTTTTTGGGGGGGGGGTTAGGGGCATTTTTTAATTAAATTATCATTTTGAGCATTTTTGGATTTAATTATTTTTAAATGTTTCTGATACCTTACAAGCAGATATAGTTGTGCTTCATCTCTATAACATTGAATTAATGATTGTTCCTCTGCTCCCTCTCCAGGGCCGAGAACGAACTGAAGCAAATGAACAAAGATTACCACTGAAAAAGCGCCATCGCCATATCTCCACAGCAGTGCCAGCTACTCCAGAACCACCAAAAGTTGATAACATCAAGAGTGAGGTTATTGTAACAAAAGCCAGTGAAAAAGCAAATTGTGTTGAAAAGGAGACCAGGCTTGAAAAACAAGATAAAGAGAAATCAGAGAAGAATGAACAGAGGGCAGAAAAAGTTCCTGTGCCCAAAACTGGACTTCTGACTGAAACACACAAGCCTGTTAGAACAGAGAACAAACTCATTAGACAGAGCAGCTATGAACTGAACAAGAAATCTGATGAAGCTGAAATTGTTAACACAGTTGCAAAGAAGTTAGAAGATGAGGTTATACCAAAGGCTACAGATGCTGAAGAGCCTTTAAAAATCACTGAAGTTGTAGCTTTAAAGAAGGCTGATGAGGCTGAAAAGGAAAACAAGGCTACCAGAGTCAGCATAGTAGATCCAGTTGAAAACAAAGCAGTAGAGAAGCCAGATGCAGTCTCTAAATCCACTGAAATGCCAATATCAACACGAACAACAACCACGCCTAAGAAACGACACAGGTTGGAAGTAGACCTATCAACTTCCCCAGCAGCAACAACCCGAGCAAATGCGGGATTAGTGAAGAGCAAGACTGAGAAGGAGATACCAAAGGTCAAGGAGAAGGAAGTGACTTCACTCAAAACCCCAGTAACCAAGTCCCCAAAAGCCAGTAAGGAACCATGCATTAAAGAGGTTGAGACTTCACCACCTGCAGTGCTTAAAGCAGAGGAGAAATGTCCTGATGACAGTCCTAAGGTCATGCCTGTTGAAGAAGTGAAGCCCAGTAGTGATACAGCAGTAACCGAATCCCAAGTACCTGTTGAATCAGTGACAGAAACAAATGTTGCTGTTGAATCTAAACCTGAAACCGAGCCCATCAGAGAAAGCTCTGGTACACACTCAGATAGTGATATACCAAGTGAGCATGAGCCACTCTATGAAAGTGATCAGAGTGGTTTCATGTCTGACAAAGAGGGACCCAAAGAAATACCTGTGAAGGTGCCACAGAAGAGACGTAAGAAGAAACGGGAGCTAAGATCTCCCATTCCAAAAGTAACAGATAAGCCCACTCCTGCAGAGGTCACAGAGGACAATGAGCCACCTCCACCAAAGAAGAAGAAGAAGATCAAGAGACGAAAGACCAACCGAACAGGCTTCCCAACCATCAGGAAGAAGAAAAGAAAGCCCAAAGATCCCTCTTCACAGAAGGATGATGAAAATGGGGAAGAGAAGAGTCCGGATGCTGAATCCAGTGTTGAAAATACCATGGAATGTGATAGCAGTGAGAAAATGATGGAATCTGAGCAGGAGAAAGGAACTGAAATAGAGAAGGAGGAATCACAACAAGAATGTGAAACTGAAGAGGCAAAATTGTCCTCAGATAAAAGTGAGAAATCTGTATCAAAGAGCCCTGTACCAAAACCAGTGCCCAGGCCAAGAGGGAGGCCAAAAAAGATAAACACAGATGCCAAACCATCAAGAACCCCATCAGAATCTCCGTCTCAGTCTCCTGAAAAAGCTCCAAAGCAACTTCGAGAATCATTAAGAGAAAGAAGGTCAGGAAAGGTTACAGATACTCCTCAAGAAGAAAAAATCTCTGAACCAGATCAAGATGAACAACAGCTTGAAAAGATCTTGGAAAGGGTTGCAACAGGTATAGGAGGAAGAACACGTAGGAAGAGAGATCTTAGTGAAGAGAGTGTCAAGACTGTTCAGAGTGAAGGAAAAAGACAGAAGAGACATGTGGATGAGGATGTAAGTATTTCAATATTTACCATTCAAGAAAAAAAAAAAAAAAAAAGACCATTCATCTGGATCCTGTTTTAGATTATCTTGTTAATTTGTCATATATTCTCTAGCTTTTAGTAATTATGACAAGCTTATTTAATTATTATTTCTCATACAGGTTGAAGACAGTGATGCAGTGGTTCTTTCCTCTGAGTCCATGCCAAGTAGTGAGCCTCCATCTGGTGATGAAAGCACCAGAACTTTACCAGGGAAGAGGAAAGTACCGCGGTGGAGAAAGAAGTACTTGGTGGCTGGGCTCTTTTCAGATTACTATAAAGAGGATGAGTAAGTGAAAAGATAATTTGCATTGTTTTGAGCTATCAGTATAATTTTGATTGTTATCATAAGATGGTTACTCAGTGTCCAGCAGAAGATTTAACTTTTTTTTTTTCTGTCACTCTCTCTCTCTCTCTCTCTCAGACCGAGAAGAAGGAACGGTGAAGTTTACTTGCCAAAGAACAAACTAACTTATGATCCAGAGGAACATGTACATGGCCTCCTTCCCCTCCTTGCTATTGTCGTAAGTGGCTTAGAGAAAGGGAGATTGATTTTGTGTTACCATATGACCTCTGGTGGCTGCATGAGCACAACATGTTACCAGGAAGAGACATTGTACCCTCTTGGAACTACAAGAAGATCAAATCGAGTAAGTGTATGTTGATCATTTGTGTTCAGTCAGATAGTTCTTTCTATCTGTACAGTTTGTTTTTGTGATAGTGATTTTATTTTGATATTTTCAAATTTCCTGGCACATATTGTAATATGCATTTATATATAACCAGAAGGCTAGTACTCAAAGGATTTTCTATTTTACAGATGTATATTATGATGTCAAGCCACATTATGACTATGAACTGCAGGCATGTAATTGCAAGCGGCCTGCTAATCCTGAAGAACGAGGTTGTGGTGATGACTGCATAAACAAAATGATGCTGATTGAATGCTCTGCACAGACATGCCCAATTGGAGATGCCTGTGGTAATCAGCCCATTCAAAGACATGAGTACCGCACATGCCTTCAAAGGTTCATGACCCCTAATAAGGGCTGGGGAATCAGAGCAACAATGGAAATCAAAGGGGGAACGTTCATCCTGGAATATGTTGGGGAAGTCGTGAGTGAAAAGGAATTCAAGCACAGGATGCAAACCAGATATGCAAATGACACCCATCATTACTGCCTTAATCTTGATAGAGGAATGGTTATAGATGGCCATAGAATGGGAGGTGATTGCCGCTTTGTCAATCATTCTTGTGATCCCAACTGTGAAATGCAAAAGTGGTATGTGAATGGCCAGTATCGCATGGCTCTATTTGCACTAAAGGATGTCCAACCTGGACAAGAATTGACATATGACTACAACTTTTCCCTTTTCAATCCTGCTGAAGGACAAGAATGCAAGTGTGGTTCAAGCAACTGTCGGGGAGTCATTGGTGCTAAATCACAAAGAGTAAATGGAATTGTGGATGACAAAAAAAAGGTTCCAAAGAAGGATGTTGGAAAGAAACGCAAGCGTGGAGGAACAGCCGAAGTCGATGCAAGCTACATTCCCCGTCCACATTTTACTCCTATTAAGCCCCTGTCACATCAGCAACAGCTGTTTATCCTCACCCATAGATGTTTCCTAATACGCAACTTAGAAAAAGTAAAGAGATTTCGTGAACGACTTGCTAGGTGTCCGAGAAGAAAGCAGAGGAGGTATTAGATGATCAAGAAGAACCTAGTACAAGAGTGGAGAAATTTCTCACTCATTTTACAGCACTCAACACTGCCAGGTCGGTTAAGACAAGACGCTTAGCCCAGGCAGAAGATGATCCTGAGATGACTCGATTGGCAAAGTTAGCACAGATCTTCAAAGATATTTATGATAAGCTTGTTGCTTCAAGAGATAGCAAAGATAAACCCTTAGCCACTCCATTTATGACTTTACCTTCAAAAAAGAAGTATCCAAATTATTACACTAGAGTAGGAGAACCCATAGACCTAGCCATGATAGAAAAGAACATACTTACTGGTATTATATTACAGCAGAGGCATTTGACCGTGATGTAATGCGACTCTTGCTAACAACCTTAGATTCTTTGGAAGAAACACTGAAATTGGTCAGATGGCAGTGGGCCTAAGGCGAGTGTACAGTGAATGCAAACTTCAGTTTAAACCTTTGCTGGAAGAGGTTCTTGGAGAGGATGCCCTTCCACCTGCTTTTGCAAATTCCAGTCCCAATGAAGAGTTTGAAGATGAAGATGTTATTAGATGTGTGTGCAACCTACATCGTGATGAGGGAGTAATGATCCAGTGTGAGAGATGTCTTGTTTGGCAGCACTGTGACTGTATGGGCGTGACAGATTCTCCAGATCATTACTTGTGTGAGGAATGCTCTCCTCGTTTGGTATCACCTGAGGTCCCCATGAATCCTCAACCTCCTGATGCACCTAAAGACCACAAGTACTTCATAACATTATTGCGTGATAATCTTCAGGTTAAGCAAGGTATGTTTTGCACATTTGTGTTTAAGTTTGGCATACCCTCTCTTTCATTCTGTGGTAGGATTGATGTTAGATACATATTAATTACAGCTGAACAGTGAGCCATAAAGTAAATAGAATTCATGTTCAGTGAATAACAATTGTAAATGGTTTAAAGGAGCAAGTTGTTCGGTTTACATTAACAAATCTTTAGTTGTTACCAACCTTTAGGTTTCAAATATGGATATTTTTTTATTGTTTGGATTTAGATAGAATGTATTAGGTAAGAAATGTAATGATGTCCTCAAACATGTGAATTGATTGTGTGACACACTTCATGGTTATTTCAGGGGATAGTGTTTACATCTTAAGAGATCGGCCACCACAGAAGGCAGGAGAAAGAAAACAACCAGCTTATAAGCTTGTTAAGGATGTGAAGCCTCATGACCTCTTGATATTCAAAATTGAAAATCTGTGGATTGATGAAAAGTGAGTAATGAGCTTCTGAATGAGGTATTGTGATCTTTTCAGTGTTTTAAATAGATTCAGTTTATGTTCTTATGAGTGTTATATTTAATGTACAATTAACATTTGAATTAGATCTTATATATATATATATATATATATATTATATATATATATATATTAATATATATATATATATATATATATATTTGTTTTTGTTTTTGTTTCAGGGGTGATAAATTTGCATTTGGACACCACTACTTGCGACCGCATGAGACGTTCCATGAACCATGGCGCAAGTTCTTCCCTAACGAAGTTATTAGGTCCCCATTGTGTGAAATCTTACCGCTTGACATGGTGGTGAACCATTGTTGGGTGCTGGACTTGAACAGCTATTGCAGAGGCCGGCCAATTGGAGCACAAGAAGACCACGTGTATATTTGCGAGTATCGAGTTGATAAAGTTGCTCGAGTGTTCTCAAAAATCAGCAAACCAAAGTATCCCATCTGCATCAGCCATATGCCTTCATTACATTTCCAGAGAGATTAAGGCCTCAGCGAACATATACAGTAAGTGTCTTTGTTAATTTAGATATTGTAGTCCTTTTAAACTCAATGGGACTAGGTTCATGTACTGTCTACTATTGTTTCATTTTGTGAATTTTGTTTACACATGGATAGTTCCACAAATGCTTAGCAGTCCCCAAGAAATCAGTTTAGACTTCTCTTGATTTTCGTTATTCCCTGAAGTTTCAGGAAAAATAATTTAATGTAATAATATGAATATTGATACTATTATTAATATTATTGATATAATGGTTATTATAGTATTAAGATACTATTAGCATTAACCCGTTGGATCTAGTTGCGTCACGGAAATCACGTTGCTGAAAATATGCGCAGTCGGAAAATAATGGCAATATCATAAGTAGCAACATCCTGGGCATGCAGTGTGTAGGCCGGGTGTGCGTAAACACCCTTGAGCGGTGACAAAACTCTGTGCCTCGCCTTTGCAAAGTTATTTTGTGTAAACTTTTTTTTAGCCTTTTTGCCATTTTCGAATGTCCATAATTGTCTTTTGATTTGCTTTATCCAGATGTTAATACCCTATTTACCTTGCTCAGACTCCATATCATCTCTCTATGTAGTAAATAACTAAGTGCAAGAAAAAAAAAAAAGTATGGAAAATTTGGTTGTGTGATCTCTCTCTCTCTCTCTCTCTCTCTCTTCTCTCTCTCTCTCTCTCTCTCTCTCTCTTCTCTCTCTCTCTCTCTCTCTCTCTCTCTCTCTCTCTCTGTCTTCTCTCTCTCTCTCTCCTGTCTTCTCTCTCTCTCTCTCCTGTCTTCTCTCTCTCTCTCTCCTGTCTTCTCTCTCTCTCTCTCTCCTGTCTTCTCTCTCTCTCTCTCTCTGTCTTCTCTCTCTCTCTCTCTCTCTCCTGTCTTCTCTCTCTCTCTCTCTCTCTCCTGTCTTCTCTCTCTCTCTCTCTCTCTCTCTCTCTCTCTCTCTCTCTCTCTCTCTCTCCTCTCTCTCTCTCTCTCTCTCTCTCTCTCTCTCTCTCTCTCTCTCTGTCTCTGTCTGTCTGTCTGTCTGTCTGTCTCCTCTCTGTCTGTCTCTCTCTCTCTCTCTCTCTCTCTCTCTCCTCTCTCTCTCTCTCTCTCTCTCTCTCTCTCTCTCTCTCTCTCTCTCTCTCTCTTCTCTCTCTCTCTGTTCTCTGTCTCTGTCTCTCTCTCTCTCTCTCTCTCTCTCTCTCTCTCTCTCTCTCTCTCTCTCTCTCTCTCTCTCTCTCTCTCTCTCTCTCTCTCTCTCTCTCTCTCTCTCTCGCTCTCTGTCTCTCTCTCTCTCTTCTCTCTCTGTCTCTCTCTCTCTCTCTCTCTGTCTCTCTCTCTCTCTCTCTCTCTCTCTCTCTCTCTCTCTCTCTCTCTCTCTCTCTCTCTCTCTCTCTCTCTCTCTCTCTCTCTCTCTCTCTCTCTCTCTCTCTCTCTTTGAACTGCTTTTCATAGTTTTTTTGTGTATGAGTGTGAGCAATTTATAAGATAGAGGTGTTATTTTTATAAACATTATAGAAAGAATGATTTAAAGAGATGAGAAATGAGAAATTAGAATTATTCATCACAGTTACTCTTAGATATTGGGGAGATACGAATTGATGTCCAAGGTACTTAATAAAATTGGTAAATAAGGGTTAATCTTTACAATTTTATTAATTTTTGTTGAAATTAATTCTTTTCTTGCTTTGTTTTCCTCAACAGCGTGCCAAAAAGCGTATTCGTGTCAACAAAGTTGCAACAAACTTACTGAAACTCCTGCCAACAAAAGGAGCCATCGATCTCAGCTATTTACTGGAGAACAACAAGAGGCAGCGGAAGAAAACTGCAGCCTTTGCTTCCTGAGATTGGCTCATAGGCTGGAACGGCCACCTCACTCTGAAGGAATTAGAGGGCCAGGTATAATGATCAGAAAGGGATTTGGTATTTTGTTTGATATTTACGTGTTTACATATTTATCTTTATATGGGCAGATGTGTTTGATATGCGCATAGTTTTGGTACAGAACTAGTGAACAGTTTCAGGAAAGTGTTTTACAGGGAGTGCTGGAAAGCTAGTATACATGAAAGAAAAGAGAAGAAAAAAATACTATTACATCATTATCTTTGATGTACTATCAAAGTCATTATTTTGGTCATTTGATTGCCATTTATTTGAAATTGAAAAAAATATATATATTGGTGTTAATCAGAAAATGACAAAAGTATTTAGCCAGTGTAATGAAGATACTGTACTTAATTAGCTGGAATTTCAATATACTGTAGTTGACTACACACATGAAAATTTTGGTGCTTATTTTAGTAATAGAGGAGTAACAAATATCTTAAAAGTGGCCAAAGCTTTACATGCAAGAAGCACTACAAAGGTTTTGAAATTACTGTGTTTGTGTACATATAGAGCAGAGAATGACAAGGTTAGGAAGGTAATGAAATTTTCATTTTTTGTGGGGGGATAATGAAACTATATCATGAGTGGATTTTAGCAGATGAAATGATGGATAAGTATATATATAAATTCCTATGGAATAGCTAAGTTAGGATAGAAATGATCAAATTGGTCTTATTCATGATGGTGAAAACCCAAATTTTGGACAGAATTTATATTTTTTTGTATTGTGAAATTACAATTATTATGTAATTTTTGATATTTGAAAATAGCTGCTCTTTTGACAGAAATGTATCATGATGCAATTGATGACCTGGAGTGAGATGAAAGCTTTTTTGTCTTGATATGAAGTAATGGTACAATGCCAAAAATGTTCCAGGCATTTAGTGAATACACTTTTTTTCTAGATAATGATTACAGACTGTTCAGGAGATGTTAAATTCCAGGCAAGTGGTGGTACCAGACAGGCAGCTAAAGGACTGCATAACCAGAAAATATGCTTGTGTGAATATGTTAAGATTGTTTGAGGAAGGCATTGTTCTAGCCTTGTACATAACATTTCATACCCAGATTATGCCATAGGTATAAATGAAGAACTGTTGTACTTATTTGACTTCATACACAAGTTCAGCACAATAAGATTATATAAACACCTGTAATTTTTTCATCATGGCTGTAAGTCCTCCACTTCTGTAATTGTACTGCTTGTGTAGATCCATAGCTGTAAGAGTACAAAGTGTTTTTTCACTAGTGTATATTAAACTTGAGAGTACGTTTTTTTCTGTAGGTTAACTAGTCACTGGACACATTGCCATGCATTTGGTAAATCCTTCCATCACCCTGTGTACAAGCAAGGAAATGAAACTTGTTGTTTGATGCAGATCTCAGTATTAGATACTGAATTCCCATGCAAGAGTATGTAATACTCATATGTACACTTTCTTACTTGTAAATTAAGCCAACAAATCAAAATTTTTATAAAACTAGAAAAGGATGAATTTTTGTAGTAGATGTATAATCTATGATAGTAAGTACAAGGATTTTTAAGTTATTTGATTGAGATTTTTAATATATACTTTTAATAATGAATTTTACACTAAGTCAGATTTCTGGTTTCTCTCAAGTATGTGTAAATATTGTTTGACTGGAGAGCGAGAAAGAGACTGAATGCTGTGCATTGTTGTGTGTAATATAGAAGGAATATTTTTATAATAATACCTGTCAGGCAGCTCTTTTGTTCACGTCATTGTTATGGTGTCGTACACCCTTTGCTGTTTCCCACATGTTGTGTTTATGTTTGTGTATATTATCACCTGGCAAGAAACAGAAACATTTGAAAGCTTTCGCACAAAGAGGCTAAGACTGGAAGTCCTGTAAACTCAAGGCCTCAAAAGTCAATAAAGTTTTTAATTTCTTACCAGGTGGTGTCTGTCTGTTTTTGGTCCAGAAGTTATAGAGAAGGGGAGGCACTTTTCTGTAGGGGTATAAATTTTGTCAAAAATTTTCAATACTAAAATTTAAATGACTTCAATAATTCCATGTAAAATTATAGGCAGTTCATTATTTATTATTACAATTATTTTGTAAATTAATGTGTCTCCTTTTTACAGTTGTGTATTAAAAAGATTGACAATGGGAAAAAAATTGCCTAAAATGCACAATAGAATTGTTGCAGGATGACAGTTGTATAGAGGTTGAAGCTGTAATTATTGCGTTATACAACTAATGATGTATAGATCCCCTTGCATATGCCATTTTGAAGCTTGCATTCCAAGTGTTCCTCCCCTAATAAATCTAGGCAAATGATAGTGCATATTTGTAGAATATGTATGGTGTAACAAGTGAGTGACAGATTTTGCTACTGTTTGGATGTTGTTTATCCTTTGTACTGGAGCACTGGTAGTTACCTGCTCTTATGTCTCTGTTACCGTGTCCTGCTCTATTGTTCACACTTTATTGTAGTGTCTCCCAACAGTTTCTGATGACTCACTCACAATAGGATTAAGCTGATACAACAGTACCATTAGTTCAGAAGCTTTTTTTTGCCAGTTAATTGCTGTTGACCAATGTTGTGCATGGTTCATGTGACAGCTGTTCAGTAGCTCGGACCAAAGTTGATAATAGTTGGTAGCCGTGTTGACCCATTTACTGTGGCGGTAACTTGGTGTTTGTCAACTTTACCTGCTACTTCAACTATGGCCCCAACCCCCAACCCCATCCCCCCCTCCTCATCATACCTAAGCAGTTTACAATTTTTTCCCCCTAGTTATACTTATTTGTTGGGAGCTCCTCTGTGTCGTAGATTTTAAAAGTTTTATGTTCTTCTATCCCATGTACAAGTGGCGGGAAGGTGCATACCCTCACAATCACAAACCAAATCTTGCTTTAACTGTCCTACAATATGCATCATTACTGCAGTTCATACAAAATTTTTCATGACAATAGCCCAATATGCATCTTCCCATATCTCAGGACATAAAGTTCATTTGTACATAACCATGAAATTCATCTCAGAATAAATTATAATTTTAAATATATTTTTCATAACCTTGAATAACCATATATAGAAAATCCTCTGGATATGGTAAGGTAAATTTGAAAAAATATGCATAATCCTTTAAGAATGTAAAGGCCAAAAATGTGGTACTTTAACCCATCAGCGACGGGTAAAAATTTTGTCAAGTTTACTTATGCACCGGCTTGTGGGCGCGCACCGGCAGTTTCCCGTTTGCGCCCAGCTCGATGGTAGTTTGGCGAGCGACATAGCACCTAAAAGCTTTTATTTTGCTAAAATTTATAAAAATATTAAAATTTCTGAAGGTTTACCTTCACTTTCGGTGCCATTGCCTAAAATCTTTACCATATAAATGAAGCCGCTACTAGTGGAGAAAAACAACCTCCGTCCGACGAGCCAGTAGCGCGGGATTGGGCATGGCATGATGCCCCTGGCGTTTGGCCCACTACAGCCATGGCATGTATGTACGTGACACCCGGCGCCAATGGGTTAATCATAACATTGAAGGTGTTGTATATCTTTGATCTTGAATTTGTAATCTTTCAAGATTATCCAAAATACAAGTGAAAACATATTTTCATCTGGATGTCTTGCAAAATAAATTAAAATAGTAATCTTTTTTAAAACTTGAAAATTGAATCTAGTCATGAAAAAAATATAAATACAACTATATTGCCTAACATATAAGAAAAAAAGGGAATTATGATCTCATTCCAATTTTTTCTAGAGCTCAATGATCAGACCAATAATAAAGTATTTACTTCCCAGGAAAAACATGGATGAAAACACTCCTCTGCCATAACGTTGTTGAAACCCTTTAGTGATATTTTTCATTGGTATCAGGAGCAATATGAACAATCCTCAATTTTAAAGATATAGATTTTTCACTTGAATGTTCATGACCTATTTCTGAAGTCTTAGGTATTGGGAATAGTGAATAAAAATCAGGTTTCACAGTGAACCATGTTGCAGAGTAGACAAACATAATACAAAAATTACACTAGAGATGAGTGTTTGTCAGCATATACACAGTAAAATATTTACAAATATAGTGATTACCAAATTCTGGTGAACTGGCTACACTACAGTACACACTGGCATTCTCCTGGGTAATGCTTGTCATTGGTATGTCCTTTTTGAGAAGTGCTTTATATTGAGACTAGCAGCACCCAATGACTAATGACACCTCTAAATGACATACTGCTATTACTAAAGCAGTATTTGTCCTTACAAAAATATGAAGAAACACTAAGTCACTATGTATACTGCTGAACACAACTGGATAAAGTTTCACTCACATATGGAAGATCCTTTCCTTAATGCTGCTATAATATACATTTTGTTGCAAAAATAAATAGAGCTGAGAGTTCAACAGCAGATTCCATTCACTTATAATAGTGTAAAACACCTATAATTCATTTACTCTAAAATGCTGAAATATGAAATAACATCTCTTGCTTTCTACGGTTTATGATTTATATGCCTTCCTATTTTAGTTGATAGTGTATTCATTAAAAGTACTTAAGCATTTCAAGCTTCTACATCAGGTACAGAAATAAACCTAAGATTTGTCAGACGCACCTTAAGCCCAGAGTGAAGAGGCATTAGGCTGACAATCGCACAATACATAACATTCTCACCAAGTTCAAAAATATTAAGAACAATCCAACCTGTCAGCTAACACTTAAAAAGCTATGTGAACACTAGACATTGTTTAGATTTAGTTTTTGCCTAAAATCCTGACATGCAAAGGAATGGATACAGTGAACCAATGAAATGTAAATCTAATCAATTTGGTAAAAATTAATCGACTTAAAAAAGGAAATCTACTGTGAGATCTTGAATATTACAATCTACATATAACTACAAGAAATCAATGTGCTCTAGCAACATACTAACTGGGTCAAAACTGGGATCAGGATTTTTTCTTCTTAACCAGTGTGTGTTGTTAAAAAATAAAATTACAAATGGATTTAGATATGCTGAGTACAATGATCACTGAACAATACAATGCTAATAAATGCAATTCAGATGGATGTATGCCTTACATTATATTTGTTTTTGGAAGAGCATACGTAATTCAAATATTTTCCTGTGATTAATTACAATAAATCCTATAACTGAATTAGCATCAGCACTGTATCATCAATAATTTCACTTACATTACTTTGAAAGCACATTTAATGTAATTTACATTTATTCTTCTGTGAAAGAAGTATCATTCCATTAGTCTAAAAATAAATCAGAATACATAATACACATGTTAATAGAATAAAAAGAAAAATTCAGTTCAAGAAAAAATTATTTAGAAGGAAATCAATATTATTTCAAATTAAAATACATGTGATCACTCTTATAAAAGAGAATCAAGAAATCCTGGACATCATGTCTGGTGTCAAAAGTCCAGATTTTACAAAGTTTGTCTATGAGACATTTATATCGGTCTAAAAATGAGCATCATTGCTTCCTTATTACAGCAATATCAAATGTCTAATTTGTCTTCAAAAGATGGTTCTACTCCTTTTTCTCATCTTCCCGGTTGTCTGTCACAGTTCCAACAATCTGTGCGTACTCTGTCTTGTCTTCGGCTTTCACTTCTGTTTTTTTATCAGACTCGCTCTTGCCAAGGTCTAGCTCTGCATACACCACCTGTTAAAGCAAAATAATTTTCCTTATTTAATTCCTTCCTCCTTTACTATTTTTTGCAGTGTTATAATTTTTCTGAATCAATGCTTATAATATCAACAATAAGGCATTATGACCATATTTGTCATAATGATAATTCTCATTATTTCTTTAATACCTATATAACAGTAATCAGAACAATTCAAAGCACTAATCACAAATGAGGGAAACAGGAATAATTTCATCCTTGCATCATAGACACCTTGCAAATAAAGTTGCTTCATAATACAAAGGTGAAAGAAGTGTGTGCACAAACAATGAGCAATATTGAAATACTGTGCAAGAAGGTAATAAAAGCAGCAATATCATACTAAAACTATGACAGATGAAAAGCAAAATACACCACAACATTTATGAAGACATACTAACAAAGGTTTCATATATGGAATGGAGATCATCGTACTCCTCTACAGGTTTTCATTTATAAAAAAGTGAGAAGTAAAGATTAGATACATTTTTTATTGGTTGGAAAAGTCTGAAAAGTTTAATCATATAAGTAGACTTTATGCTTGAATATTTAGTATCAAAGCTTTAACAATACAGTTGACCTATGTAAAAGGTGCAATATGGGGAAAGGTCTACAAATAAGGACAAGATGTAAGCCTGTCATATGCTGAAATGATTCCAGACAGGCCATCTTTTATCACTGGATTCCCAAAGAGGTACAGAAATTGAGCCCCACACATAAATCACTTATTTATTACACCTGTAACAATACACAAGTACACTTTGTTTTACCTGATATGATTCATTTATTGCAGAGGATGCGTCTGCAGAAAAAAATTCAAAATCTTTAAATATTGCGTAAGACATACATTTCCAAAACAATTATCCTTTGATACCTGACCATCTTGTGTAAACTAGACAATTTTTATTTCTCCTTGCCAATTCATGTGCACACAAAGAAAGAAAGAAAGAAAAAAAAAAAAAAATGATAATAAAAAATAAATAAGTAAAATAAAAGAAAGAAAAAATGTGTTCCCATGTAAACATTCACAAACATACAACCACAGATAATGCAGGTATACATTATCAGATACAACCTAGGCTATATACCTAAGATGAGGGTTTATTTACACAAGCTAAGTTAAAACCATACCTCTTTCTTTTCAGCTGGTTTCTGTTCAGCATTTACCATATGAGGTGTACCGTCTTCAGGAACTTTTATTTCATCAGAAAGCTTGTAAACCAGAAGTGTTTTGAAGTAAAAGCTAAATTCACATCACTAGCACTCATTATAAACAATTTATCATTATTCTATTATTGAAGACAATTTGGTAACCACCACAATATATGGCCAGCATAATGTTAGTAAATTTATGCAAAACTGTCAACTGGAGATATTACCCAAGATCACACCATAGGTTTTCTACTTCCTGTTGTAAGTGGTTTGTAAATCATGGGAAACAAAGTTGATCTAATACCTTGTTATGGAATGATGAAAATTAACCATCCTTCTCTTATAATTTCCTGATCAATATGAAGTTATAAACTTATGATAATCTACATAAAAAACTAATAATTTCTGATTAGAGAATCTTGCAAATTCCAAGAACTAAAATTTAGGACTGTAGTTTTAAAATGAAACTAATCTGAAACTGAATGACATGTCCTTGTACCCTTTACTTTATATCTAATTACCTACAGCCATCTATAAGGAATTCACTGAATTGTTTAAATATATATATATATATATATATATATATATATATATATATATATATATATATATATATATATATATATACGCACCCACACATATTTTAGAGATACACACATATATATACACACACACACACACATACACCCACACATATACTTATACATATATATATGCACATGGTAGAAAAACCCACAATGCACAAACTAGATTTATTGAAGAAAGTGAGACAACAGTTTCGGAATCGTGCTTGATTCCATCTTCGGGTGGAAGATGGAATTGAGCATGATTCCGAAACTGTTGTCTCACTTTCTTCAATAATTCTAGTTTGTGCATTGTGGGTTTTTCTACCATAGTATCAACAAAGTTAAGTATTTTTCAATCATTCATTCAAACACATACACACACACACACAAAATTATATATAAAAATAAACATATATATAAACACACACACATATATATACACACATATATATATATACACACACACACACATATATATATATACACACACACATATATATATACACACACACATATATATATACACACATACATATATATACACATACACATATATATACACACCCACATATATATACACACCCACATATACATACACACACACACATATATATACACACACACTCATATATATATATACACACACT